CCCCCCCCCCCCCCCCCCCCCCACCTGCTACCGGACGCCGCTACGGTATAAACAAACCCGGCCGGGGGGGGGGGGACTGTTTGTTTTTCTCTTACTAGTAAGTGAAGAAATTGTTTTCACAGTTCACAGCACTGGAGCCCCTGTCTTAGCTAAAGGGAAAACTGATATTCCCGGTTTTTTTCAACTCAATTACCCCCAAAACCTCCACAGCACAGCATTGTCTGTCCAAAATCGCACTAGATGTACATATTCTCTTTCTACTTTTTAATTTTTTTTCTCTACACAATCTTTTTTTTTTTTTTTTTTTGAGCGTGCATAATGTTCCTTGTTTATCTATCCACCCGATTGATTTTATCTGAGGATTTGGATGGTTCTGTCATCAGAGGGCGTTAGCAATGGGGACCGTGTCACGCCTTAATGAGGGGGGCCATGCTGAGAGGCATTAAAAAGGGCTACATTGGAGTCTGGGGGGGTGAGGGTATCCAGGTGGGATGCATCCTGGGAAATGATGAAGCGACGGAGAGTGGCATGCTGGTCTTTTGTGTCCCTTGGGCTGGGTGCTCATGTGTCTGGCGGCCTGGTGGCTCTCGCTGTGTTGCGGAAGAATGGAAATCCAGCGCGGCCAGAGCGACGGAGCGATGTGCAGCTCGTGTGTCATATACCGTCTGTCACTGTGGCAGAAAAATGTATGCTGGCTCCTTCGGACTCTTTACAACTTAAAGCACTTTTCCCAGATTTGGTGCAGATGTTTACTAATTTCATAATCTCATTTTTATGTCACTGCATAGAAAATCCTGTTACGAACAAAAATAAAATCCTTTACTCAGCCTGTGGGATTTTTCAGAATTCTACTTAGTGGGGTTCATTGCTGAAATGGTTAAAATGTATGATAGAGGTTTATTGATGATATTTTTCATTAATAAATATTCACACATAAATTACTGAGCTGTTGCCCATTAACCTTTGATCGTGTTTGAAATGCATATATCCTACTGGTGATTTTCTCATGGCACGATCCCAGTCCAATTACATTCCCTCAAATCAGTCTGTGCTTGTCACCCTAGGAATAAACCCTGTGGAAATTTGTACTTTTAATAGCCAATTCCTTTGCAAAAGGGCTGCCCTTTTCAGGCTGTACAGGACTATAGGAGCGCTGTGACATGTGATAGCTGCTCCGAGCCCTGCCTCTCATTCCGTTCAGAAATGGCCTCGTTTTTATGAAGACTCAATGCTGATGGACTCACGTACCGTATGAAGTACGCCCTCTCTTACGTATTTTTACACTTTCTTGCTCCCTTCATTAGATGCTAGTTCTCCATACACTATGTATATTGTAGAATGAAATGTCAGACATGGAGATTGGCAAAGTCTGTGTCCTTTTCATAAACAGGCACCTGGCAGTGTATGGCCAGCATTGGTCACACCTGCTCCTGTTATTTAACCTTTTAATTACTGTCAGCCTCCCATTTCCTACAGACATTACGCTGCGCTGAGGGCAGGTCAGATGCAACAGTCTGTCCTTTTGGGATGCTCCTTCATAAACCGTTAATAGCATGCGTGGACCCGCATACATTTTTGACCAACTACTTTCTTTCATTTTCCCCGCCTGGTACAGCAATAATCTTCTGTCAATTTCTGGTTAATCTTCAAATACTTCTAAGTTGCGATGATAGATGCTGTGCAGCTGGCGAACAGCTGCTCAGGCTTAAACCCAGCAAGCCGACAGAGAGCTCGTCCCACCTTATAATTATTAAGCCCGCATTTGCAACAGGTCCGTAGTACCTGTGTATCAATGTGTTGCGCAAGTTAAAGAAATACGTTTTGGTATAGATGTAGCTGTAGAGAGTAGCATTCTTCCTCCTCCATTTTTAATCGGTAAATGGACAGCGTTTGAGCTGGGAAAGGGCGGGGAGATGGGGGAGGACCGGGAGGCGGGGCGCAAGCGGCAGGTTTCAGCACCGTGGACAGCGGCTGCAGTTCACTGCAGGACGGCGGCGCGACGAGCGGAGCGGAGCCTCACCTTCCGCTGTGATCGCCGCTTTCCTTCATCCTCTGCCCTGACTTTATCATATCAAATAAGTGTTCCGAGCTGACTGCTATGTGCTATGTGCACCGACCCTCTCCCCCTCGCTGAAACATCCACTTTGATTTGGTGGGCATTTATAACCTTTTTTCTTGCTGATTAATTAATTAGGATTGTTTGTAGTTTATTGTGATTTTTTATTTTGTTCTGCAAATTAATTAAAATTAAAAATTGTTATAATTTGTATTTCCCGTTTTACATTTAAATAGCCTACATGCAGTTCTTCTTGTGCACAATATTATTTTTGCTTTGTTTTGTACTCTTACATGATTGAAATATTTTTTTTTTTACGTGAGGAATCTCATCACCAGACCAACTTTTTCTTTGACTTTCTGTCACACATATGAAAGAAACCAGCATCGTCTGGGAGCTTCAACAGAGCCGATCAATGTCATTTTATCTGAACAGGGACTGAAATTAAGCATCGCAGCATGAAGAAGTTTCGGAGGGTTTTGGACGGCCTGACGACCTCCTCTCCGGCCGGCGTCGGCGGCGGGGCTGCGACCCCTCTGGCCCCGGGGACGGTCCCCAGAGAGCTGGAAGTACGGGAGACCTTAGTATCCGACAACTTTCAGGTCTGTAAGGTGAGTATCTTCGCCATCTATGAGTCTGGTTCTGGTTTTAGACACCTGTTATTTCCCAGCACACTTCCACCCGAAAGGCGCTATATAAATCTGGCGAATGTGACGGACAAACTGTGCGGTACAGGGTCAGTGACACGTTAGATCAGTCTTTCACCTCCACTGCCACCACCTGACCAGCGTCTATTCTTCTAACGGTAGGACACACATTAAATCCGGGCTGTATTTATTTCATAACATTTTCACTTCTCGTCTTTTTTTTGTTTGGGTTCTATCTTTTTACATCAAATCACATCAAATGCAGCGATTCCTCCCCTGATTGGATTATGTACAAAACAACTGACAGTTTTCATATTTGCACGTTTACTGTGCCTGACAGGTAAGTCTGCTTATTTAAAACGGACCATTCCGGTGCCAGCAGTCAGACCCTCCGCTTGGTAGCTCTCTGCTTGTTACGCAGCCCATAGCCTTGCAGGGGTTCCGTTCACAGACCTTTAATCCATGTAAGTGCTCGTTGTAAGGTAGCAGCAAAGTGGATTATTGTATAAACTCCAGCAGATGTACTCAGATTTCCCAGGTAACCGTCTTTTGATGGGAGATACAGACCGCTGTTTTTTTTTCATACCGTGTCCATGCACATGAAGTGAGCCGCATGTGTTTAGAGCTAAGCTAAGATGTGATGTCTTCCGTCTGACTTTAAATTGTATAGAAAATCATTATTAGGGATTTCTTTGTAGGTGGAGGCACGGCTCAACAGGGTATGGACGGACGGTCAGGGTGGTGTTTAATACATTTCACATTACTCCACACAACTCTCTTTATTCCTATTTATCGATTTCTCCACATAGCTGTGCCAGTTTCATTATCTTCTGTGTAATCACATCCCTGCACCTCCAAGGCAGGTCCAATTGAGCGCATCATTTAACTTTGCTTCAAGTGACCATTTACCACCGTGTTAACTACTATATTTCACACCACAGTCCTTTTGAACCAATACCCCAGCGTGTATTTATTTGATATTAATTAGTGTCCATGTTTGTCCTGTCGGTAAGGACAAATGGCAGAAGCAGCGGGAGAATTATGATGACAGTAGGGGGCTCCATGCCAATTTGGTTAGTACTTTTCCTCCTCGCCACTCCTTCCAGGTGATCCGAACGCCTCATCTGAGCTGTTGCTCCGAGTCTCCATGGCTCCAGTTTGTAGGGAGAATATGTCTGTTTAAAAGCAAGTTCACCCCGCTGCAGCAATTCAGTATTAATATAATATTTCTGTTCCCTTTCCTCTCAGTGTGATATTTTCCATCACTTTTTCCTCTTGTTTTTGAAAATCTTTTTACAAAAGTGGACCCGTGAGTCAGGGCTACTTCACAAAGAGTGTTGAGAATATGAGGCCATTTTCTGAGCGCGGACCGCTGGCCGTTCCCTCGCCGTAGCCTCGTTATGGGGACATCCAGCATAAACCACACAGGGTTTTGTTCACTGTCAGTCTATTCCTGTGTTCTTGTTTGCCTGCTGTAACTAAGGAGAGCTGTGCAGGATGGTGCTGTGACCCTCTGGCTGAATCTGAAGCCACAGGTGCCTCAGTGACAGGTCATGCAGTGCTCACTGGGGACAGTGACATCAGACAGAGCGTTGACATTATAGTGCCGTGTCATTGCTCTGCATGTGTCTGCCTACAGCCGGGGTTGAGTGGTGATTGGCAGCAGTCTCTTCTGAGACCGTAGCCAGTATTTTCTGTTTAATTTCCCCAGCGCTTTAGCAGGTAGAGAGTAAACACCACTGCATTTCCCACTTCCTGCTTCCTGTCCCAGCAGGAACTCTGCGTCTCTACTTGCTGTTGCACCATAATTACTTTGTTGGAGTCATTAGTTTGATGTCACACCACCTGTATTTTCCCGATTCCTAATTGACTGATAATTAAATGGTTCTGTAAAGACCAGCAGATGAATTTATACCTGCAGGATTCGCGCAGTGTGTGTCTGGCTTACAGGTCATACAGTTAAACACGTCTTTCTAGCATAAGCTGCCCTTGTGGCCCGGGGGGGGGGGGGCACACCGCAGCGAGATGAAATCTGCATTCGTCTTTAGGCTGCGTCAGGTCTAAGCAAATTGCCAGCTTTGTTGGAAATGTATTGTGTATATCATGCATATTAATTGAGCCTTGATTTGCTCACCATCTCAGAATAGCCAGAAAGTGAAAAATGTTGTAACACCGTTTTGTTCTGCTGGGTTGCTTTGTGAAAGAGGCCAGTAATCAGAATATTAACAGGGTGCGGACGTGCTGTAATACGTAAGAGGGATTTGAAAGACTCTTCCTGTCGGAGGTAGTTTTGATGTTGGCTCTGATGGTCACAGGTTACAATTGCCATTATTTGAGCTCCAGTAGCATAAGATGTTAGATGTCTGTCTGATCCTGTGAGGGAAATGTCTGAATACAGACAGATATGTCCTTCTGTGTCTTCTCTGCCTATTTATGTAAAAGAATAGATGGATACTGAGTGGCAATTAAAGATTAAGGGAAATAGAAGCGAATGAAAAAAACGAATATGGCGGCCCTAGATTGAGATGCAGTAGGACCATAGTGCGGTTATGGTCTTTCATCCACCGGCTCTCAGGGTTAAACTAGGGATGAGGGAACAGAGTGATCCCTCTTCTCCAACGCTCACAGTCATCCATCCTTTAAGAGACACCCAAGGCCGTTCACTCTCCCACTGAGACTAAGTGATCGCCTTTGTTCTGTATTCCTCAGTACTTAGAAATCACCTTTTAAATTGAGCTTCAAAATTTAAGCTATTGTCAGGCAAATCATTCGTTCCAAAGTTTAATACATTCATAAAATTTCCCAAAAAATCAGATGGGTTTATATTATAATGAACACAAGCTTTACTGGCAGCTCAACAGAACTTTTGCAGGATGTCATTCTTTCGTTCTGTCTGAGGTCCCTTTGCTCTTTATTTCCGTTTCATGCTGCTGCAGCTGTCCTCCTGTTTGTCTCAGCACATACATAACCCTGTGTACCCTGTGTACCCTGTGTACCCTGTGCATTCCGCTCTGACCTGTGCTCCCTTTCCAGACAACACGGCATGGATTCCCGTTCCAGCCCACCGCCCTCGCGTTCGACCCGATTCAGAAGGTTCTCGCCATCGGATGCCGGGCAGGTGGGATGAGGATGTATCCTTTTGCCGTGGGTTCGACGTGGCGTTGGGGTGACACTCCGTTTCTGTGGGACCTTCCTTGGGGGATTGCTGGGTTACCATCCTCATTATAGCATCTGATTTTTAGGGATTTTGAGCAGGAAAAATATATTTTTCTGCTTCTGACAGCATTGGTGGTGCATGTGTCACTGAAACCATTATGTGAGGAAAGGACAAAAATGGAAAACGAAAGAGCGAGAGAGTAAAGACAAAAACCACAGAAGATTATCAGTTGGTGCATATACAGCTCTGGAAAAAACTAAGAAACCACTAAACACCAGCATTGTTAAATCTTGGTTTAATTCAGGTTCTGCTGGCAGGAGGCTACGCTGAACAACAGGTTCCTTCAAGGCTCGAAGTTTCTATGATCGCTGCACACAAGAATAAGGTGAAGCAGGAGACACCGGAAACCAGCCAGGTAGAGGGTGGAAGCGACTTTCTAATGCCAGAGGTCAACTTATCCGGCAGTGCCTCATAAATTGTAGGATGACCTCAAGTGACCTTCAAACGGAATGGGAAACATTAAGTGGTGTGAAGTGCATTGCAAGGACAGTTCATATCAGGCTCCTAGAAGCAGGACTGAAGACCCATAAAGCAAGGAAGAAGCCCTTCATCAATGAGAAGGAGGGAAAAATCAGGCTGCAGTTTGCAAAAAAAAACAATCTATAGTTTACACAAAAGCCTATCCATAAATTGAGAAATGGGTGAAACTAACATTTTTTGCTGTGGACTCTTAATTTTTTCCAAAGCTGTATACAAAAATAAGAAAATATGTAGTCAAAATACGCAAATGGCTGTTTTCTTCCTGGGTCTGTATCACAGGAAGCTCTCCAGTCATGGAACACACCTGCAGTAGCTCTAAGAGAGGCCCAGCCTGCTGGAGCAGGATCATTTTTCTGTCGAGATGTTTCTCCAGCGTCGCTGGGACAATGCTCTCGTAATATTAGAACATATAGCATGGAGAGATATAAAATTCATATAAAATTTGTGTAAAGCGAAAATGCAAACTACACGAAGGCTCAATGATGAGGGCGTGCGTAGGGGGGAGGGGGTGGACGGTGTGCTTCTGGGTGTCTCTCTCCTGGTGGTGCTGATGATGTCATTGATCTTGGTCCATGCAGAATACTGCTAGAGGAAGGTCCCTGCACAGACTTGCTAGATATCTGGGTGATGTGACCTTCTGGTTCAGTAGCGTGATGCAGCTGCTCTGAAACTCCACACTGTAGCTGAGGGCTTCGGCGGGACCCGTCCTGCAGCCCGGAGCGTGCGGCACAGTCTGGTGCGGGTCACGCATAGAAGACTGTAAGTCTCCTCTGGCCGTAACCTTTCGAGGTGGAACCAGCTGAGCCCATGCTGAAAGGCCTTTGTCCCGCTCTCAGCATAGCAGGCCTGGTGTTTAAGAAGCAGGCCTGGGCTTCCCGTCGTGTTTTTTGTCTCGACTCATTTAGCCTTATCGACGGACATTTCGTTCTGTTATTCTGCTCGGCTCCCATCTGAAGGAGCTCTGTGGTGCCTGTATGGGGGTCTGTGGGGGTCAGGACTCACGCCGTCAGGCTGACCTGCCTGTCTGAGTCTCTCCAGCGGGGGCCTCTCTCTGTCCTCCATCTATCAGCGCCCGCAGCTTGACATTTTCCTGCCTCTGTACACTCTCATCACCCGCTGTCCACCCCTCTATCCGCGGGCAGTTTGCAGTTGGAGTGACTCGACAAGAGAGGCCAGGTCGTTTTCCACTGAGAAGTCAGTAGAACGCAACCTCAGTTCTTAAAGGCAGCCTCTATTTGGAATACAGACGTTAATCCAACCAGATTGCCCCTGTCTGTTCATTCGGTGTGTATGTTTTTGTCTGGCGGAGAATTTTACACTTTGTCTAAGAGTCGCTAGGAAGTTGGGTCTCTAACCAAAGCAAGCCGAAGCTAATATAAACATAATCCACACACACACACACACACACACACACACACACACACACACACACACACGCACACACTCACACAAACACACACACACGCACGCGTAGATGCATACACTCAGGACCTCATCAGGAACTATGCTGACCCTTGTGAATTTCATTATTCAGCTGTTAAAGCTGAGATAGTTTTTTTAATATTTAGGAGACTTTTTTTGGGGGGATGGTTGAAAAATTCTCATTTTGTCCAGATGGAGGCTATATGATTTTATTTATACCATATTTTTTCGTTTTTTTAAATATATTAATGTATTTTTTACTGTATTATTTGGGCTGTGTTTTCAGCCTGCTTCGACAGGCTGGTCTCCACGGTCATCCGTGTTTCATCCATTCGCCTCGCTCACCAGCTCCTGTTGCTCTTCCCAAATTCTCTTTCAGTTCGATCCATTTTTCACTCCTGCTGTTTTCATAATGATAAGTCAGAGCTCCCTCTTGTACCAAAAGAGAGCTGTGTGTTTTCGTCTTATCTACACGTCCGTTGAGGTGACAGTGAGCCTGCCTCTCTGTGCCTTTCTGCACCATCTGCACACATGTGTGTGTGTCCTTGGTGTGTAAGGGTGTACATTGCCAGGTATGTGTGGATGCTTCTCTTTTTGTATGTGCTTCTGTCCACATGTACAGACCCATCTGAAATATCGTTGCTGTCCAATGAAAAACACCCAAATCTCCAAAAGCCCATTATCTCAGGAGCATGAAAAAAATTAGTTTTTCAGAAACTACTTTACAAACCCAAAACAATGCAATGAGACACCCTCAGAATCACAAATAGAAGCACATCTTTATACGGCTGTCAGTAAACGGTTTAATGCTATAAATTAACATGGATTGTTGTCAGAGAGGCAAATATGTCAGTGTCAATAAGACCTAAACTAATTTTGCTTTATATTCTTGATGTTAATTAGCTAATTATCTATCTATCAATGTTAAGTTGTTAAAAGTAACAATATAAAGTAATCCACATAAATGACCATCATGAGTAAAGATGGAATCTAGTACAAACATAAATACTAATTAAATCATTGTTTTCATAAACCATTTTTTCAGTGGTCAATTAGATGCCTAGACAGAGGAGAGTAGGCGTGTTAAATCTATGGTAAAAAAGTGGACATGCATGGTTTTTAATGGACAGTGACAATATGCTGGTTACAGACAGCTGTAGCAGGACTGAGACTTGACTGAGACTCTCATTCCCCTTTGGCTATGTTACCTGAGCTTTCTTCTCCTCATTCAGCCTAAATGCCTTCTCTCTGTATCCACAATTCTCTCCCTGTATGTCCTGCCTGTTTGTATTCTGAAGTTCAGCCCTGCCCTCAGTCAGTGTAAATGAACCTTCCTCTCGGAGAAACAGTAACAACTAAAGTAGCAGAGGAACGTAGCCAAAGCGGAATGAGAGCCAAAAGTAGGTCCCAGCGATTTGTGATCCCTGGTATCCACTCCCTCTGTTTAGCGAAGGAGGTCTGAATTAATGGACTTGAATGCTGCCCCTTGCTTCTGGAACTGAGATTGGTCTGAGATTGAACTTGAGTCCAAGTGTGTTGCAGATTGATGGGTCCGTGCTTCGGGTATCTTGAGGTGAGATGTATTTGAAGCTGGGCTGCTGAGTTCTGTTCTTCTGGCTTTTGGCCTTGGGGTAGACTGGTGAATGCTGGGTATGGGGGTAGTGCTGATGAAAGGAAAGGTCATCAGTTATAGATAGCAGCACAAGGAATGCAAAAAATGGCTCAGTTCTGCTACTGCATGCGTTCCCTGTGCCTGATCCATATAATTCACAAGCCAGGTTTTTCCTCTAACCCTAACTCAGTCCTTTCACCGTCGCTGCCTTTTCCTTTTCCATTTGCTCATCTCCCACCTGCTTATCTCACTGTTTGTTCTTTCTCCCCTGACCTTTTTAACTCAGACCCAAGGTAGAGTTTGGCACTGAAAGCTCATCAGATGCCACAAATCCTCTGCGCAATTTCGGCGCGTCCCTGAAACTCATATAGGCTTGTAGCTCCTGCACACCTCGGGCTAACTGACATCTTAGGTACATTTTACGAAAGAAACATATCAGATACATTCAGCAATGGGCGGAAACAGTTTTCACCTGACGTGCGCCGCCAAAGACAGAGGATTTAGTGTCATGGACGTGGGTCCACATGCCCGTCGAGCACTTTGGTGACACACGGGGACTCCTGAATAATTGGAATAGCTGGGAAATATTCATTGAATTTCACAGAATTTCTGTCGCCCGTGACGGAAGCGCAGGTGCTGTGGCGCATTGTGCTGCGTGTAGCAGAGCTGCCGTCGTACTGCGGCGCAGTTCACCTGTTTCATAACTGTCATTCAACGCTCTCTGTTTACACCCCCGTCGGTATAAAGTCCCGAAAAACTGCTTTCGAGTTGGCATGGATTTTAAAGAGCAAGCAGTGAGTCAGCCGCATGGCGGAAAGATGAGCGTGTTACCGTGGTGACCTAAACTTACATCATAGCCTGGTTAAGGGGGATTGCAGTTGAAGAATTCAATTGATATCGATCCCCACCGGAGAAACTCTGCATTTATTCATGGCTTTTTCTGTAAAACTCTACGAAAGTGCCTGCCGCCACCCCCCCTCCCCCCCATAGAGTTGAGTTCTTAATATATGCCTGTAGTTTAAGGCCAGTAAATTACCATAATCGTTAAGGATATCAAATAGTAATACAAGCGTTTTTGGTTCATGGGCCAGGAAGACTCCACAATTGTATCCTTCCGTTGATACTCGATTTTTATTCCTGCTCCCTAAACTGTGAATTGCTCTGAGGGGGAGCACTGGCTCTGAGAATAATCCCAAACGTCATGCTCGTATGGAAGTGTAAGGCGTGAGTAGAGCTTAGTAATTCTTTGAACGATGCTCGCCAGTAGCGCATCTGTTGCTGCTTTTGTCCGAGTTGTAGATGCACATCCAAGCCCGGGGAGCCCAAGTTCTGGGTCACCCAGCAGGAAAGGCTCCCTTGACACATTGATCAAGCCAGACTGGCACCTGTGTCTGCTTTAT